GCACCTCTTGTAAATGCTACCAAAAGGAAAGAGGAAACAGCTACTACTTGTTCAAATGACGGGTTGAAGACCACAATGACGATCAACAATGATTTGCGGCATGTGTCTCAAAATACTCTGCTCTAGATTCGGGTTGTTCTTTGCTACAGTTTAAACGCTGGGACAGGATCAGGGAGGTTGGAGGTAGTGTCTGACGCCTTCGTCTGTGCGACCCGAAAGGCTAGGCGCTGATCGAAAGTGACTGAACGAATTTTTGAGCAATCCTGGAAAGAAATGTCAAATCTGAAGTATGAGTATGCACGCTTCTTCAAAACGAAGTTTCACGCCATTTAGCACCTGGGTTGCAAGGGAATCTATGACCTAACCATGGCGCCATTATCTGAAATAACGCAATGCATAAATGCCTCTCACACCTTTTCATTGGCTACAGTAATGCATTCTTACAGGACTCCCTTAAGCACTCACTGAAGCATCTGCTTAAGCAATAGAATACGTAACCGTCTACTAATAACAGACTGACATTGGTTTAGACGGAACAATGATCCAAGTCGACTGTGCAGCTGATATACTCGTGGTTCTGGCTTTCAACTTTACATTGTGCAACAGTGTTCTCATTATTTTCAATCCTTATTACGGTAGCCAGTTGGCTTGTTAAGAGCTTTAAAACCAATGGTTAACAAGTGACAGAAAATTTTTTTACACCTTTACAGTAAATTAAGCATGGGAGGAAATGATCTATTAAGAAACGTAGTCGAAAGAATCAAGGGTGTATGCGTACTGATACTCAGGGATTGCATAATGAAAGTTTCTAGATATAGCTTGCCACCATGACGTAAAATTCTCAGAACTTCGTGGCGTAGTTTGTACTTTATTATGTATTTCGAAATATTTGTATTCGCGTCGTTGTCCCCTGCCCGGCGTATGGGCATGAGCTTAGATTTATAAAAAGTTTTTTGCTATAAACATTTCGATGATTAATACGGTGTAAGCACTATACGCATGCTACCGGTGAACTTCATTTAGATCTTGTGTATTACTGTCTCGTCTCGTTATTTGAATGATGCATTTTTTGGCGTTTCCATGACCTTAAGTTGCAATGTCTCTTTGAAAACGTTACAGAATTGATATATGATAAATTTTATACTGTCATCGGGCAAAGAACAATGCAAAATTTTGAACTTTAAACTGTAAATAATTCAAATTATTGCATTCAGGAGTCCATTTCGTGTTAATACTTAATGTACAATTTAGGTGCGTTATGCTGCCTCAAGCCCAAGAATTCAAATATCTTCAGGAAAATAGAAATCGACAGCAGATGAAGAAATCTTTCATTAATGGTTTGGATCAAATGGATAGAAGTGTGAGACCTACAGTGCGATAAGAGGATGCCCATCAAGCTAACAAGAAAAATGCACGCAACGAGAGTAAGATCGGTACTTCTCCCCGGAGCGGAATGTTTGGCTATCCTAAAGAGACGTGATCAAGTGTTGAATTCCGTAGAAATGCGACTATTAGGATGGATGTGTGATTCAGCAAAAAGGACTTCATCATGAACGTCTATTCGTCTGAAAAGCTGACCGAAAATGTGTTCGGTTGGTTTGGCAACGTGAAAAGGAAATTTGACGAGTACATCATAAATGTGGTCCAAGTATTCACTGTGCTACGGGGGAAAAACCAGGGAAGATCCAAGGAAGGACGACACAATATTTAAAAGAATTACATAAAATTTCGAGGAGTGACCACAGATTTGACCAATGACCAAAAAATGAAGAGAGTTCTTTCAAAAGCGAAACCCTGTTAAAGGGAGCACGCTAGAAAAAAGAAATGGAGATTTTCAAATTGTATATAATTGATTATTACTGTTATTCAGGATTAACTGAACCGGTTCTGTTCCCAACGAAAAATGGGCTGGCACCTTCCCTCAAAATAGTGGAATTTTATCATCTCAGGGAACTTGCTATAATTGCCATGTCATGACACCAGACTTGCAACTAAGCTATTTAGTTTCTTCAACAAACTTCGTTAAAGTAGACGATTAGTCATTGAAATTTCTGCTTCAAGGGACGCACAGGATAAGACAGTAAGTGCTGAATATAAATCATCTAAAATGTGACTCCAGCTTACCTCCAATGCGATACAAGTACTTCCTTCAGCATTTTCGATCACGTGAGCGAAAATCATCAGTTGATAGCCTGCACCCTCATCATCAGCACCAAGCAGGTGATATATAAATCCCACCATCGCTTCACTTAGCCTCTTCTCTATGAACTTTCTACAGATTCTTTCGCTCAAGCCATGGTCTCCAGTGTAGGTCTTTAAACAGTTTTGTCGTTTATTGACTTCGCTCGTTAACTCCGCGTTGCCACGCCAAGCCGTGATGAAAACAAAATGAGTTTTGGAGGCCGTGGTGAGGTATTTTTTAAAACCTAGCCACCTGTTCCTCATGACATTCCAGTCAACGAATATTTTACCAGCCAGTTCGGTACCGGACTTACCAAAGGACGCGGTTGCTAGAAGACGGAGATCAGGACATCGGGCAGCCCGCGTGTCGAAGGTTGCCGAAGACAGACAAAGCGGATGAAGATACCAATCAGCAACGGAATCGCTAACCCTTCTGAACAGAGGAGGCGGAGAGCGCGATTCCAATATGGCACGACAGATCAGGCTCCACTAGAAG